CAGAGGCACTCCAAGTGGCCAGATACTGGTCAAAGGACATTTAACCAAATACAAAATTTGCAAAATCTGTGTGTATTTTTTTCCTTTTCCTTTTTAATCTGTGTGTTTATTTAGCTGTGTTCGAATTGTAATACAATGGTTGCTGATGACACGATAAATAAATAAATCCAGTTCAAAGCAGATAATGTTCATTATCTGATTTCATCCTCTGGATTGCATGGCAGTGTAGAGTGGACCTGATAATCGGGTACAAGCAGATAACCTGGGATCAGATCCTGGGATATAGGGCAGGGCAGACGCAGCCTGTGAGCAAACGGAAGAAGCTGAAGAGCCAAGAGGTGCCCTGAAGAAGGAAGCCAGGCCATGCGCCTATTAATAACATGCGAGTGGCTAATTATAGTGGCGAGAACCTCGCCTCCTGAAGGCATGCCTGGCCCTCACCTTCGCACTGAGCTTCGGCTGGCCTGGGAGCGTGGGCGAAGGCAGGCCTTGGGCCCAAACAGAGCCCAGAGAGAGCCAGGGCCGCGCAAAAGAAAAGGGGGAACCCAAAGCCGAGGCTCATTTCTGCAGAGGCGAACACGGACCCTTTTCTGAGAGCACCCGAACCCAGCTCCTCATAGGCCACGCCCCCTTCGGATCCGAGAACCAAAAGGAGTCAGAGCCCCGCTTGTGACGTCACAGCACGCACTCTCTTCCGATTGGAGGGAGTGGGAGGGGGCGTCCTGATTCGGAAGTCGACGTGGAGGCGCGAGCGCTGGTTGGCTCTCTCTCGAGGTGCCTTGTGGGTAGGAGGAAGAACAGGCGAGAGTCGAGGCCGGGTCCATGGCTGCCATCGGAGTCCACCTGGGCAGCACGTGCGCCTGCGCGGCAGTGTATAAGGTCGGGACTGGGTTTGTGTGGAGAGCGCCAGGGTGGCCTTGAGGGTTAGGTTAGGGCTCCAGAGATCTGGGTTCGAATCCCCGCCACAGCTATAGAAAGCCAAGGCGAATCCCATATAGAATCATAGAGCTGGAAGTGACCCCGTGGGCCATCCAGTCCAACCCCCTGCGAAGAAGCAGGAATATTGCATTCAAGGCACCCCTGACTCATGGCCTCTGTTTAAAAGTTTCCAAAGAATGAGCCTCCACCACAATTCTGGGCACCACAATTCAAGAGAGATATTGACAAGCTGGAATGTGTCCAGAGGAGAGTGACTAAAATGATAAAAGGTATGGAGAACAAGCCCTATGAGGAGCGGCTTAAGGAGCTGGGCATGTTTAGCCTGAAGAAGAGAAGGCTGAGAGGGGATATGATAGCCATGTATATGCAGATCAAGAATAGGGCTCCGCAGTCACCTACGGACCCACCGCACACTGCACACTGACCCTGGAGGACCATCCTACTCGGACAATGAGGGATCACCTAATGAATGAAATGATGATCCAGTTCAAAACAGATAATCTGAATTTTATATGGCAGTGTAGAAGGAGCCTAATAGTGTGGAAGAATTCAGAAAATCAGCTCCTGTATCTCAACACAAAAACGAGCACCTCTACACAGGAGCAGAATTCAAAACGATCTTGACAGACTAGAGAGATAAGCCAAAACTAACAAAATGAAATTCAACATTGACAAATGCAAGATACTCCACTTTGGCAGGAAAAACGAAATGCAAAGATACAGAATGGGGGACAGCCTGGCTCGAGAGCAGTACGTGTGAAAAAGATCTTGGAGTCCTCGTGGACAACAAGTTAAACATGAGCCAACAATGTGATGTGGTGGCAAAAAAAGCCAATGGGATTTTGGCCTGCATCAATAGGAGCATAGTGTCTAGATCTAGGGAAGTAATGCTACCCCTCTATTCTGCTTTGGTTAGACCACACCTGGAATATTGTGTCCAATTCTGGGCACCACAATTCAAGAGAGATATTGACAAGCTCGAATGTGTCCAGAGGAGGGCGACTAAAATGATCAAGGGTCTGGAGAACAAGCCCTATGAGGAGCGCTTAAGGAGCTGGGCATGTTTAGCCTGAAGAAGAGAAGGCTGAGAGGGGATATGATAGCCATGTATAAATATGTGAGAGGAAGCCACAGGGAGGAGGGAGTAAGCTTGTTTTCTGCTTCCCTGGAGACTAGGATGCGGAACAATGGCTTCAAACTACAAGAGAGGAGATTCCATCTGAACATGAGGAAGAACTTCCTGACTGTGAGAGCCGTTCAGCAGTGGAACTCTCTGCCCCGGAGTGTGGTGGAGGCTCCTTCTTTGGAAGCTATTAAACAGAGGCTGGATGGCCATCTGTCAGGGGTGATTTGAATGCAATATTCCTGCTTCTTGGCAGGGGGTTGGACTGGATGGCCCATGAGGTCTCTTCCAACTCTTTGATTCTATGATTCTATGCTAAATCAAATACACAAAGGACATGTTAAAAGCAGGATACTAATAGTTCTTTTTTTTTAATATATTTTCCCGTTTCTATTTATTTATTTATTTATTTATTTATTGTGTCAGGGGCAACCAGACCATTGTATTACATTTCTAATAGAACAAAACAAACAAACAGATAAAAAACACAAAGTTTGCAAACTTGGTAGTTGATTAAATGTCCTTTGACCAGTATCTGGCCACTTGGAGTGCCTCTGGTGTTGCCGCAAGAAGGTCCTCCATTCTGCATATGGCGGCACTCAGGGTGCATTGCAGCAGGTGGTCAGTGGTTTGCTCTGCTACCGCACTCGCATGTCGTAGATTCAACTTTGTAGCCCCATTTCTTAAGGTTGGCTTTGCATCTCGTGGTGCCAGAGCGCAGTCTGTTCAGCACCTTCCAAGTCGCCCAGTCTTCTGTGTGCCCAGGAGGGAGTCTCTCATCTGGTATCACCCACGGATTGAGGTGCTGGGTTTGGGCCTGCCACTTTTGGACTCTCGCTTGCTGAGGTGTTCCAGCGAGTGTCTCTGTAGATCTAAGAAAACTATTTCTTGATTTAAGTCGTTGACGTGCTGGCTGATACCCAAACGGAGGGGCTTCAGCCCCCTCCGAAATTCTCATGGTGGTTCGCGAAAAGGCCTTACTGGTGCATTATTTAAACTGTTATGTTTATTCATATCATGATCTGATCACCATACTCAATATATCCCATATGCAAATTTAAACTGTTATGTTTATTCATATCATGATCTGATCACCATACTCAATATATCCCATATGCATGGGGGTATTGGGGTAATGATACAAAAGGTTTGCTAGGCTAGACCCTCTTTCACTCAGACTCAGCGCCCCCCCCCCACCCCGCCCCCCCCGAAACCCCCCCTGAAAAAAATTCAGCCCCCCCCCCCCGAAACGAAATCCTGGCTACGGGCCTGACAGGGGGGAGTCTCTCATTTGGTATCTGCCACTTTTGGACTCTCGCTTGGTGAGGTGTTCCAGCGTGTTTCTCTGTAGATCTTGGAAAACTATTTCTTGATTTAAGTCGTTGATGTGCTGGCTGATACCCAAACAGGGGGTGGGCTGGAGATGTCACTGCCTTGGTCCTTTCACAATTTTATGGGTGAAATGGCAAATCCTCTCTGAACAAATCTTGTCATCGGTTCACCTTAGGACACTATAAATCACAAATATCTTGAAGGCTCAACACAAAAATGAGGAAGTCCGCAACCACTTTTTATTGGGCTTGCTTCACTGGAAGGAGTGAAAGTATACAGCTTTTATGTATTTTTAAGAGGTTAAAGCGGTCACCATATCTCAGAGAGTAACCTAAAGGCCCATGCACATATAATATCTAATTTTTACACTATACAAAGCCTGGTATTCCTGATTGACAACATAACTTAGAAGATACACATTGCAAGTAATGGTACCCATAATACATTTGAAATGAGCAGAATCATTGAGTTGGAAGAGACCTCATGGACCATCCAGTCCAACCCCCTGCCAAGAAGCAGGAAAATTGCATTCAAAGCACCCCTGACAGATGGCCATCCAGACTCTGTTTAAAAGCTTCCAAAGAAGGAGCCTCCATAACACTCCGGGGCAGAGAGTTCCACTGCTGGACGGCTCTCACAGTCAGGAAGTTCTTCCTAATGTTCAGATGGAATCTCCTTTCTTGTAGTTTGAAGCCATTGTTTCGTGTCCTAGTCTCCAGGGAAGCAGAAAACAAGCTTGCTCCCTCCCTATGTCTTCCTCTCACGTATTTATACATGACTATCATGTCTCCTCTCAGCCATCTCTTCTTCAAGCTAAACATGCCCAGCTCTTTAAACCGCTCCTCATAGGGCTTGTTCTCCCAACCCTTGATCATTTTAGTCGCCCTCCTCTGGACACATTCCATCTTGTCGATATTTCTCTTCAATTGAGGTGCCCAGAATTGGACACAGTATTCCAATTCTAAAAAATCATAAAACATTCCTCATGTTTTTATGTTAGAACCAGTTAGGAAATGGGATTTATAACCCAGGAACACTTCTATACAAATTCAACTTAAGAACAAATCTACAGAACCCATTTTGTTCGTAATTTTGGGGCTTCCTGTGTGTTGAAATCTTTTTCACCATCGCAAGTTGTGTATCATTTGTCTTCCAGTGACAGTAACTGAATACAAATGTTGCTTTCTCCCAGGACGGGCGTGCCGATGTTGTTGCCAATGATTCTGGTGACAGAGTTACTCCTGCCGTTGTTGCGTTTTCGGAAAATGAAGAGGTAATTCATTTTGTTTTTGTGCTTTCCAACAAAAGCTTGAAAAATGTGTCTGTGTGTGTTTCAACGATGACTCTTTTTGCAGGTTGTTGGCCTGGCAGCAAAACAAAACAGAGTGAGAAATCTTTCCAACACAGTCGTGAAAGTGAAGCAGATTCTTGGCAGAAGGTATGGAAAATCATTGAATTTTATAGAACGTTGGTGTGTTTTTAAAACACAGAATGAGCTTGTTGAATTAAAGTTAACTGTTATTATCAAATAATGTAAGATGCCAAAATTATTCTAAAATAAATTTCACATTACTACTACTACTGATGGCTGGATGGCCATCTGCCAGGGGTACTTTGATTGTGCTTTTTCCTTCATGGCAGAAGGGGGTTGGCTGTTGGGGGTCTTTCGCTGAAATACACTTAACTTTATATTGATTAAAATTGTTCTTCGTTTTAAATATTGTATTGTATATATTCTTTCTTTCATTCTTTCTTTCTACACTACAAACTAGATTTGTGCAGTGTACATAGAAATAGGTTCATGGTTTTTTCCCCCCGGTTAGTTCATACAAACACTCTCAACCCATCTGCCTCTGGCCCGGCCTGTTTGTCAATTTTTAAAATGCAATATGGCCCCTGTGTCCAAATGTTTGCCCATGCCTTATATATATAGCCATCCCCTGCCATGCGTTGCTATGACCCAGTCTGGTGATCTGGAAAATAAAGTAATGAGAAAGTGTTGGTTTCTAATATATGTAATTTCTTTCTGTTTGTGGTAAACAGTATTTGATTACGTTTTCTTGCCCTGGTGAAAGGAGTTGGACTGGATAGCCTTAAGTATTTTCTATTGGTGATGGGGGTTCTGTGTGGGAAGTTTGCCCTAATTCTATTGTTCATGGGCTTCAGAATGCACTTTGATTGTAGGTGAACTATAAATCCCAGTAACTACAACTCCCAAATGTCAAGGTCTATTTCCCCCAAGCTCCATCTGTGTTCCTAGTTGGGCATATGGAATATTCGTGCCAAGTTTGGTCCATCATTGTTTGAGTCCACAGTGCTCTCTGGATGTAGGTGTACTACAATTCCCAAACTCAAGGTCAATGCCCACCAAACCCTTCTAGTGTTTTCTGTTGGTCATGGGAGTCCTGTGTGTCACCTTTGGTTCAATTCCATCATTGGTGGAGTTAAGAATGCTCTTTGATTGTAGGTGAACTATAAATCCCAAGAACTACAACTCCCAAATGACAAAATCAAAAAAATTTGAGTGAAGGACATACATTGGGTTGTTAGGTGTATGCTGTCCAAATTTGGTGTCAATTCGCCCACTGGTTTTTGAGTTCTGTTAATCCCACAAACGAACATTACATTTTTATTTATATAGATAATATACAAACATTTTTGGGGCTCCATGAGAAATGTTTGCTTCAGCTACTGCTCTGTGGCTGAAAAAGTTTCTGATCTAAACAAGTCTTCTTGCTAGGATGATGTCTTCCTGAGATCTTTTCCACAGTCATTCAGGATATTTGGCATTGCAAATTCACTTCACAGATTCACTACTTGAAATTAAAAAAAAAAAAACATTCCAAAAATGGGTCTTGATTTTCCCATGTAAATGAGAAACACCATTTTAATATAACGTCATAAATAATAGGACTTGAGCATCCACGGATTTTAGTATTCGGGAGGAAACAAACCTCATCAGATACCAAGGGCCTGCTGTATTCTCATTTTTTTTAAATTGACATGCTCCCAATTTATATTTTAAAACACATTGGAAACAAACTATTTGCACATACCTTTGGTTGGCAGTTCGAATCCATGGACAGGGTGAGCTCCTGTTGTTAGCCCCAGCTTCTGCCAAACTAGCAGTTCGAGAACATGCAAATGTGACTAGATTTATTATTTATCGTGTCATCAGCAACCATACCATTGTATTACAATTCTAACAGAGCAAAACAAACAAACAAACAGAAAAAAAACACACAGATTTTGCAAACTTGGTAGTTGATTAAATGTCCTTTGACCAGTATCTGGCCACTTGGAGTGCCTCTGGTGTTGCCGCAAGAAGAAGGTCCTCCATTGTGCATGTGGCAGGGCTCAGGGTGCATTGCAGCAGGTGGTCAGTGGTTTGCTTCTTCTCCGCACTCGCATGCCGAGGATTCCACCCTGTAGCCCCATTTCTGAAGGTTGGCTCTGCATCTCGTGGTGCCAGAGCGCAGTCTGTTCAGCGCCTTCCAAGTCGCCCAGTCTTCTGTGTGCCCAGGGGGGAGTCTCTCATCTGGTATCACCAATGGATTGAGGTGCTGGGTTTGGGCCTGCCACTTTTGGACTCTCACTTGCTGGGGTGTTCCAGTGGGAATACATCAATAGGTACCGCCTTGGCAGGAAGGTAATGGTGTTCCATGCAGTCATGCTGGCCACATGACATAGGAGGTGTCTACGGATAACGCCGACTCTTTGGCTTAGAAATGGAGATGAGCACCAACCCCCAGGCTTGGACACGACTAGACTTAATGTCAAGGGGAAACCTAACTTTGCTTTGTAAGGTGTCTTTTTTTTTATTGTAAGGTGTCTTATTTTTTTTATTGTAGATGAACTATAAATCCCAGTAACTACAACTCCCAAATGACAAAATCAATTTTTTTGAGTGAAGGACATACATTGGGTTGTTAGGTGTCTTATGTCCAAATTTGGTGTCTACAGTTGCTGTTACTGTTATTAGAATTGCATGTATTCCAGTTTGTGAAAGTAGATTGCACAGATAGAACAGACATTGCTAAAAATTCACAACATATAAAAATAAGTTAACAGGTAGTTAAGCTTTCAAAAATTAAAATATATTAAAAACATGAATTAAAAGGGAACAAAAAAGAATCCAGCTCATTAAGGAAGGTCCTTTCTGCTTGAGCAGTCTGTTGTCCAACAAAAAAAAAAAGTATTTGCCTGTTTGCAGGAATATAACAAAGAAAGTGCCAGTTCTAGGAGGGAGGTTATAGAGTTTGATTCCCAGTTGCCTGTTTCATGAACAATATACATACTGTGTCTTAATTTTTATTTTGTTTTCTGTGATTTAGAAACGTGTGATTAAAGTTGATACTAAGAAATAAGTCCAACCAGAGACTGAAGTGGGACTTCAGGAAAATAATTTCCATAAAATAAAAATAATGTATTGGCAAATTTATTGTTAATAAGATAACTTGTAGTATTTCTTGTTTTGACAGCTGTGGAGATCCCCAAGCTGAAAAATACATAGCGGAAAGTAAATGTTCAGTAAGTAAAACTCTGCTTCATCTATTTTTCCATAGATGACATCATTTTGTGTGTGTGTGTGTGTGTGTTTCGAGCCTCTATCCCAATAACATTACAGCAGAGTTTAGTTTTATAATTGTTCATATGGGGTAGTGATTTTAATCTTGGATTAGGATATCAGGGTCTAAAGCCTCACTTAGACTATGAATATTCAATTCTAGTTCAATATTATTGGTCAAAGCTATTAAATCTCTAAGGGCCTCCTGTTTGTTGTTGTCTTGGGATCAATTCTGGACTAGTTATGTGCTGCTGCACTTCGGGTCTGTATTTTTATAGCCGTCCCCTGCCATGCGTTGCTGTGGCCCACATGGGGGTTCTGTGTGGGAGGTTTGGCCCAATTCTATCGTTGGAGGGGTTCAGAATGCTCTGTGATTGTAGGTGAACTATAAATCCCAGCAACTACAACTCCCAAATGACAAAATCAATTTTTTGAGTGAAGGACATACATTGGGTTGTTAGGTGTCTTGTGTCCGAATTTGGTGTCAATTCGTCCAGTGGTTTTTGAGTTATGTTAATCCCACAAGCGAACATTACATTAGGTTCTTGTAGGATTTTTCGGGCTATAGGGCCATGTTCTAGAGGCATTTCTCCTGACGTTTCGCCTGCATCTATGGCAAGCTTCCTCAGAGGTAGTGGGGATGCTTGCCATAGAGGTAGTGAGGATGGCAAGCATCCTCACTACCTCTGAGGATGCTTGCCATAGATGCAGGCGAAACGTCAGGAGAAATGCCTCTAGAACATGGCCCTATAGCCCGAAAAAACCTACAAGAACCTAGTGATTCCAGCCATGAAAGCCTTCGACAATACATTGAACATTACATTTTTATTTATATAGACTAGCCGTCCCCTGCTACGCGTTGCTGTGGCCCACATGGGGGTTCTGTGTGGGAGGTTTGGCCCAATTCTATCATTGCTGGGGTTGAGAATGCTCTGTGATTGTAGGTGAACTATAAATCCCAGCAACTACAACTTCCGAATGTCAAGATTCTCTTTTCCCCAAACTCTACCAGTGTCCACATTTGGACATATTGAGTATTCGCGTAGAGTTTGGTACAGATCCATCATTGTTTGAGTCTACAGTGATCTCTGGATGTAGGTGAACTACAACTCCAAAACCAAAGGACACTGCCCACCAAACCCTTCCAGTATTTTCTGTTGGTCATTGGAGAATTGTGTGCCAAGTTCAGTTCTATCGTTGGTGGGGTTCAGAATGCTCTTTGATCGTAGGTGGACTATAAATCCCAGCAAGTACAACTCCCAAATGACAAAATCAATTTTTTCAGGGAAGGACATACATTGGGTTGTTAGGTGTCTTATGTCCAAATTTGGTGTCAATTCGTCCAGTGGTTTTTGAGTTATGTTAATCCCACAAACGAACATTACATTTTTATTTATATAGATTTCCTTGTGTAATGTAATTTGACTAAAGTCACTGTTAAGGTAAGGAGCCTCATGATATTTTTCGTCCAAATGACAGAATATTTGCATTGTAGATCATCTGTGTTAAAAGGCAACTTGGATAACTGGTTGGATGAGAAAAGGCCATACGTGTTTCTGTTTGCCTTCATTTATAGATCACTGAAAAGAATGGAAAATTAAGCTATGAAATAGATGGAAAACTTGTTTCCCCAGAAGATGTTGCAAAATTGATCTTCACTAAGATGAAAGGTGCAGTGCTCCAATGTAATGCGGTTTTCCCACGCTTGAAAAAGGTGGTGAGGATTTCCTTTTACTCACTATGTTGTTCCTTTCTATATGCAGAAACTGCTCAGTCAGCTTTGGGTTCCGATGTCAACGACACTGTTATCACCGTACCGTTTGATTTTGGAGAGAAGCAGAAAAATGTCCTTGGGTGAGTATTGGCCTGAATTAAGGGAAGCCATTGCTGGCTAAGCCTTATAGTTCTGCCATTGGATCAAGATTCCAACAAACCATTAATCTGTGATTATCTGGCTTTTTCTCAATCACTTAGGCCCCTTCCACACAGCTGTATAAAATCCACATTGAACTGGATTATATGGCAGTGTGGACTCAGATAATCCAGTTCAAAACAAATATTGTGGATTATCTGCCTTAATATTCTGGATTATATGACTGTGGAAGGGCCCTTGGACGTTAATTCCTTGTTTTTCTCTATCCAACACACTAGGCTTGGTTGATCAAGAAAAAAATGGTTCTAAACTCATTTCGTGTACTAAACTGGTGGTTCGATTTGAAATTATTTATGAAATTTTCTTGAAAAAAAAGATTGGAAATATCAGGAAATACGAATCGCTTCATTTGTTTTGTTAATGGAAGGTGCCCCTCCCTCCCTCCAGAACCATTAAAATCTCCAGATGTTGGTGAACTACAATTCCCAAACTCAAGGTCAATGCCCACCAACCCCTTCTAGCGTTTTCTGTTGATCATGGGAGTTCTGTGTCCCAATATTGGTTCAGTTCTATCATTGGTGGAGTTCAGAATGCTCTTTGATTGTGGGTGTACTATAAATGCCAGCAACTACAACTCCCAAATGACAAAATCAATTTTTTCAGTGAAGGACGTACATTGGGTTGTTAGTTGTATTGTGTCCAAATTTGGTGTCAATTCCCTCAGTGGTTTTTGAGTTCTGTGAATATCACAAATGAACATTATATTTTTATTTATATAGATTACTGATATTATTTATTTATTTCATTTTTACCCCCACCTTTCTCCCAATTTAGGGACTCAAGGCAGCTGACTAGTTAACTTTTATCAATATGCTACAAATATATTTGCTAATTGGCACTGAGTCAAGATACAATAGTTACTTTTTGCAATTTAGTCCTGTGAAGCAATATACTGATTTCTAACCATCATGTTTTTATCGCAGTGAAGCTGCAGTGGCCGCTGGGCTTAACGTTCTTAGGATGATTCATGAACCATCTGCAGCTCTGCTGGCTTATGGAATTGGGCAAGATTCACCCAGTGGGAAGAGGTAACAATATATGCATAGTATAAACCTAATCATATTTATACAGCAGTAAGATTCATTGGGACAATTTAATTAGTAAAAATGTCCAGATGGACACTTGGCCTTCCGTATACACAGGTTCTGTCATCTATGGCTTGGAAATATTTAAAAAAAACAAATCTTGGTTTTGTCATTTTATACAAGGCAACAGTTTTATTACACTATCAGATAGATAGATAGATAGATAGATAGATAGATAGATAGATATGGATGTGAGACCTGGACCATAAGGAAAGAAGATAGACACTTTTGAACTGTGGTGCTGGAGGAAAATTGAGAGTGCCTTGGACCGCAAGAAGATCGAACCAGTCCATACTCCAAGAAATAAAGCCCGACTGCCACTGGAAGGAAGGATATTGAGGCAAAGATCAAGTACATTGGCCACACAATGAGGAGATAGGAAAGCTTGTAGAAGACAATGATGCTGGGGAAAATGGAAGGAAAAAGGAAGAGGGGCCGACCAGGGGCAGGATGGATGGATGGATGTTATCCTTGAAGTGACTGGCTTAACTTTGAAGGAACTGGGGGTGGCCACAGCTGCTAAAGGGCTCTGCTGTGGACTGGTCCATGAGGTCACAAAAAGTCAGAAGTGACTGAATGAATAAACAACAAAAAAAAACTATCTGTGTATATGTTAAGAATATGTGAGTGTTTTGATTAACTGTATTGTAGTTTTCAAAGTTAATGATTATGTGCTTAGAAATGTAATGCTTTGTAATGCAATGTTCTGGAGATTATAATACCTGTGTGGAAAGAGTTAACTGTATCGTGAAGGAGGAGTCGTAAATCTCAGTGCGGAAAGTGTTGTACAGCTGTCTAGCGTCAAGAGCCTCGAAAGTCATCACGTCACTGAGGAATGTGGGAGTGTGCCTATTCTGGATTGCAATGAAAAACCGAGCCATGTAGATGTTTTTTGTTTTCTTGTTCTGCTTAGTTCTAGTGTAAATATGTTTTGCATGAAATAAACTAGGTTTTTAGACAAGAAGATGTGTTTCAGTGCCTTGCTGTGTTGAGATAATCGCCGCTCCATTAACAGTATATGTATGTTTGTGTGTGTGTGTGTGTGTGTGTGTGTATATATATATATATATATAGAGAGAGAGAGAGAGAGAGAGGGAGGGACTGAGTATCCATGGATTTTGGTATCCACAGAGTCCTGGAACCAGACCCCCCATGGATACCAGCGGCTCACTATATGCCTTGTTATGGATATTTACATGATTGAATATAAGCTTAGCTGAGGTCCAGAAATTGCAGTGATCTGCTGTTATTGTATTTCCAAGGGATGTTTGTCCAGGTTCAATAGAACCTTTGCTGCATGTTTTTTGCCTTGGGATTTTAAAATCTCAGCAGCATCCCCTCAAAGAATAAACAACTTGGGATATGTTGATTTAAAAACAAGGATTAAAACCAGAATGTGGAAATGCTGCTTTTTTTATCCTGGCAAGCTTCTGAAAGTATTGGCTGTTGTAATTTCTAGATCGAGAATTTGTCTGATATTTTTGCATGTCATGTCATCAAAATGGAGATGTAATTTTTCCCCATCTCTTACCAATGTCTAATTCAGTGGTTCTTAACTTGTGGGCCATGGCCCAGAAGTAGGCCGCGAGAACTAAAATCCAGTCCGTGAACCCCCTTTATTTTATTTTATTTTATTTATTTCTGCTCCTTTCCGCAGAGCTGACCAGTCCCAACCCTTTTGGTACTAATGTTAGAGAGTGGGTCCTGGTAAAAAAAAAAAAAAAAGGTTGTGAACCACTGGTCTAGCTGAATTAAATACCAGGAATAGCTTCAAAACCTTTGTCTGGAGTTGCCATTCCATCCAGTCCCACTAATCCTGCTGATTTATTATGAATATTTAAGATAAAATTGTTTGCTATACGCCATTTCTGCTGCAAATGGTATTATATTAGTCCTTTCCAAAAGTTTATAAAGTATATAAATTTTAACCAACACTTGGGGCCATGCAACTGAAATGTCTGTCATAAACCAGTCTTTCATCCTTTACTTTAAACTATGTTCTTCAGATACCATGGTTATTCTGAAAAATTGTTGTTAATATAAATATTGCTATTGACAAGCCATTAGCACATTTATCTTAGTTTTCTTTCTTTCTTTCTTTGTGCACTTTGAAGCAATGTGTTAGTTTACAAACTTGGAGGAACATCTCTTTCGATCACAGTTATAGAAGTGAACAGTGGCCTGTACCGCGTCCTTTCCACCAACACAGATGACAGTATAGGAGGGATCTGTTTCACAGAAGCCTTAGCACAGCATCTAGCTTCTGAATTTCAGAGGTAAGCTTCCTAACATAAAAATCATACAATGTTTTGTAAATATATATTACACAGACCAACCCGAAAAAAAACCCTTTCTCTTGGTGTCTTGGCTTTTAGACCTCTTCCTAAAAACATGCCCTAAAAACCAAAAACAGGGTAATTTGGGGTGCTTATTTAGAAAATTGCATTGAGTAGACTGCATCAGCTATAGTTTCTTAGATATGGTTATAAGATTTTCTGTGGACAAAGAGATGGCGACTAGATAGCATATGTTCTGTATCTTAAGAACTAGAGCTGATAGGGAAAACTGGTGCAATTTTTAGAATTGCTAGGCCATATGTAATAATAATAATAATAATAATAACAACAACACTTTATTTATACCCCGCTACCATTGTGCATGTAGCGGGGCTCAGGTTGTATTGCAGCAGGTGGTCAGTAGTTTGCTCTTCTCCACACTCGCATGTCGTGGATTCCACTTTGCAGCCCCATTTCTTAAGATTGGCTCTGCATCTTGTGGTGCCAGAGCACAGTCTGATCAGCGCCTTCCAAGTCGCCCAGTTTTCTGTGTGCCCAGGGGGGAGTCTCTCATTTGGTATCAGCCATTGATTGAGGTTCTGGGTTTGAGCCTGCCACTTTTGGACTCTCGCTTGCTGAGGTGTTCCAGCGAGTGTCTCTGTAGATCTTAGAAAACTATTTCTTGATTTAAGTCGTTGACGTGCTGGCTGATGCCCAAACAAGGGATGAGCTAGAGATGTCACTGCCTCGGTCCTTTCACTATTGGCTGCTACTTTCTGGCGGATGTCAGGTGGTGCAATACCAGCTAGACAGTGTAATTTCTCTAGTGGTTTAGGGCGCAGACACCCCGTGATAATGCGGCATGTCTCATTAAGAGCCACATCCACTGTTTTAGTGTGGTGAGATGTGTTCCACACTGGGCATGCATACTCAGCAGCAGAGTAGCATAGCATAAGGGTAGAAGTCTTCACTGTGTCTGGTTGTGATCCCCAGGTTGTGCCAGTTAGCTTTCGTATGATATTGTTTCTAGCACCCACTTTTTGCTAGATATTCAGACAGTGCTTCTTGTAGGTCAGAGCACGGTCCAGAGTGACTCCCAGGTATTTGGGTGCGCTGCAATGCTCCAGTGGGATTCCTTCCCAGGTAATCCTCAGAGCTCGGGATGCTTGTCTGTTCTTAAGGTGAAAAGCACATGTCTGTGTTTTAGATGGATTAGGGATCAGCTGGTTTTCCCTGTAATAGGCAGTAAGAGCACCTAGAGCTTTGGAGAGCTTCTGTTCAACCATCTCAAAGCTCCCTGCTTGAGCGGTGATGGCACGATCATCAGCATAGATGAAGTTCTCTGTCCCTTTTGGCAGTGGCTGGTCATTTGTGTAAATGTTGAACATGGATGGAGCAAGCACGCTCCCCTGAGGCAGGTTGTTCTTCTGTTTCCGCCATCTGCTTCTCTGGCCCTGTTATTTATATTTGTTATTTATAAAATACCTTTTCTTACTGGGGATGTTTGGGGTGGGGTGGGGTGGGGGGGCAAAACAGATTAATAGCATTTCAGTGGGAAAATTGCTTTGAGATAAGGGCATTTTGAGTTAAGAGCTTGGTCGTGGAATAAATTAAACTCTTAACTCAAGTTATCACTGTATAGGCAAATCCATGTATTCCAAAAAACAAAGAACTCTGAAAAACATCTGGGCCCAAGTATATTAGATAAGGGACAGTCAGCTTGTATAGCAAATGAACATTTGTTGCCATGCTTTGAAATCCTTTAATTCAGTAGTTCTCAACCTGTGGGTGCCCAGGGTGTTTTGGCCTACAACTCCCAGAAATCCCAGCCAGTTTACCAGCTGTTAGGATTTCTGTGAGTTGAAGGCCAAAACATCTGTGGACCCACAAGTTGAGAACCACTGCTTTAATTGATATTGAGAAAGAAATCCTAATCACATTGAAAGTAAACATCAAACCAACTTGCTCTCTTCTCAATAAGCACAGCCTTAGCTGGTTTCCAAGACGAGCAGTGCATGCTATTTTGGCAAAATTGTAGGATCTAGTTAGTGTTTCTAAACTTGTAAGGTTGATCAGTAATACACTGTTTCTGGTGTATAATTGTTAAGTGTTTTAATGGAATGTATGCTTCTTAAGACTCACGTTGTGTTTTAATTTCTATTGGATGACACATTGCGTCTGGTTCAATAAATACACAATGAATATGTAGATTTTCTATGATGGTTGTAATTATATATCTCTCTCTTTCAAAACCCAAACAGGTCTTACAAATATGATGTGACAGGAAACCCCAGGGCCATGATGAAGCTCATGAACAGCGCAGAAGTTGCAAAGCACTCTTTATCTACACTGGGAAGTGCAAACTGCTTTGTCGATTCCCTCTACGAGGGTCTAGATTTTGATTGTAATGTTTCCAGGTAAATTTAAATGAGTCTTTGGGTTTTGATTTTTCACCTTTTTCGTGACACTTTTGTAGGTGACATTCATAGTCCCTGTTACATGTAGATTGCAGTGAAGATGAGAGGCAAATCAAGATAATATTTGAATAAGTGTGATAAGGTAATATTTTGTAGCTTAAAAAATGAAAATGTCTTTTCAGTTTAACATTTGTGAAATTGACAGCTATAACTACTGCAGGGCTCCTCAAACTTTTTAAACAGAGGGCTAGATCACAGTCCCTCAAACTGTTGAAGGGCTGGATTATTTATTTATTTATTTATTTATTTATTTATTTATTTATTTATTTGACTTGTATACCACTACTCCCAATTTGACTCGGAGCGGTTTACAGCAGTAGATTAAAACAATACAATTAACTTTAAAATACAATAAAACAAGAACAGACATAGTCCCGAGTTATTCACCCATCGAAAGCTTGTCGGAAGAGAAAGGTTTTACAGGCTCTCCGAAATGCAAGTAGGTCTCAGATAGTTCGGGTTTCAACTGGCAAGGCATTCCATAAATAAGGGGCTACAATCGAGAAGGCCCTCTGCCTAGTAGAGGACACATGATAAGTCCGGATGTTGGGGACTTCAAGCAAATTTTGGTCTTCAGACTGAAGTAATCTCTGGGGTTGGTAGGGGGATAAGCAGGCCCTCAGGTACGCTGGCCCCAGACCATATAAGGCCTTATAGGTTAGTACCAGCACCTTGAAAGTAATCCGTACTCAATCGGAAGCCAGTGCAGCTGTTGTAGAATTGGGGTGATACGACACCTCGCTGGCACCCTGGCGAGAAGACGAGCCACCGCATTTTGCACCAGCTTCAGTTTCCGGATCACTGACAAAGGAAGGCCAATGTAGAGGGCGTTACAGTAGTCAAGCCTCGAGATGACCGTCGCCTGGATCACCGTAGCCAGGTCGTTCCTAGATAGGAAGGGAGCCAGTCGCCTAGCCTGATGTAGATGGAAAAACGCAGATCTGCTCACAGCAGAGACCTGGGCCTCCATTGTGAGCAGAGGGTCCAATAAGACACCAAGGCTTTTTACAGAAGGTGACGGACGTAGTGTCTCGCCATCCAGGGTAGGCAGCTGGATCTCCCTCCCACCCGGACGGCCCAGCCAAAGGATCTCCGTCTTCGCTGGGTTCACCCTCAACCTGCTGGCACGCAACCATCCAGTAACGGCCTCAAGGCACTGATGGAAATTTTTGGGTAGAGTCCTCCATCCTCAGAATGAGCTGAGTGTCATCAGCGTACTGGTGGCACTCAAGCCCAAAGCTCCGCACCAGTCGGGCAAGTGGTCGCATATAGATGTTAAATAATAGAGCAGAGAGAATAGCTCCCTGCGGGACCCCACAAGTTAGCGGAGATCATTCGGAAACCATCCCTCCCCACACTACACGCTGTCCCCGATTCTGGAGGAAGGAGGACACCCATTTAAGGGGTATCCCCCAACCCCTGAAAAAAACATGAATTCCTATGCACACTGCACATATCTTATTTGTAGTGCCAAAAACACTTAAAAACAATGCAATAATTAAAATGAAGAACAATTTTAACAAATATAAACTTATTAGTATTTTAGTGGGAAGTGTGGGCCTGCTTTTGGCTGATGGCATAGGGTTGTTGTTGTTGTTGTTGTTGTTGTTGTTGTGTGCTTTCAAGTTGTTTCAGACTTAGGTTGACCTTGAGTGAGGGCCAGGCCGGCTCCAGCTCCCAGGCCTTAGTTTGAGGACCCCTGCTCAACTGCATGGTTTTATTTCATAATATTTATCCTTATGAAGGCAGAGTCGAGTGGAAGTGCATAAGACCTATCAATATTTGGAGCTTGTTTCAAATCTATCTGAATAAATTTTGTAGGAATAGAAGGGGAGAAAAAACTTTACTGAAGATATGCATTCTTTTGCTGGAAAATGCTATTTCTCAAGCCCTTACCAAATGATTGGATACATTATGATAGTTTTGATCTGTGCATAATAGTCTACTCGTAGCCAACAATATGTTACCATCCAATAACTAATTTTTCAATTTTTGAAGATTTGATACCTTTTATAAACAAACTCCACAACTGTGTTCCATGTTACGCTTAAAAAAAATGAAAATGCTTTCTCAGTTCAAGCTGTTTATAGGTTCGTCTTCATGAAATTGACATATATGATTCTACTGCATAGTTTGATTTTATAATATTGATTGTTATATGAAGGCAGGATATAGTGGAAGGACATCTGTATGATTTTTGCATCTATTTTGAAGTATGTACTATGTACCATGCTCATATTTGTTGGTGATGGGACATCTACTTTAGGGGCAGTTAGATGACAAATGTTATATATGCATGTGCATATTTGTATTGCTTCCATTGACTTAGGCCCCTTTTACACTGACATATAAAATCCAGATTATCTGCTTTGAACTGGATTATATGGCAGTATAGACTTGTACAATCCAGTTCAAATCAGATAATGTAGATTATCTGCTTTGATAATCTGGATTATATAACAGTGTAGAAAGGCTACTGGAATAGCGATCATATTATAACAGGGTGTACTGGGTTGTTGTAGGTTTTCCGGGCTATATGGCCATGTTCGAGAGGCATTTTCTCCTGACGTTTCACCTGCATCAGGAAAAAATGCCTCTAGAACATGGCCTATAGCCCAAAAAACCTACAACAACCCAGTGATTCCGGTCATGAAAGCCTTCGACAATACAGGGTGTACTATTGGGTTGTTTTATAAACATTTCCTAGAGAAAAGGAACAGTGTGCATTTTCTTATTTTGCTTTTTAAAAATCCCAACAGGGCCAGATTTGAACTTATTTGCTCTGCACTTTTTCACAAGTGCATAGAAGCAATTAAAAAACTCTTGCAGCAAGCTGGACTTACATCAGATGATATCCATAAGGTAACAGCACAAATAATTCTATATATTTCTAAGACACCTATTTATTTTGTTGACTATTTAGGAATACCACAAAGCAGAATTGATCTGGATGAGTTATTTCATGTTGATAAAGTTTTGAAAAACCATTCAGAGCTCTCATCCAGTTGCTAGACTTGGAGCTACATTAAAATACATTTTTCATTAAATCTGTGAAGCATTTGTGAGTCTCAACATACCAAGTTCGGTATGGACAAAGTTACCCAAATTAGTTAGGTTACCTAGCAGTTAGTAACTTAAGTAAGGATATATTTTATGTGAAACACTAGACAGTGCTGACTGATTAATTTATTATTTACAGTATTTATATACCGCCTTTCTCACCCCTGGGGGGACTCAAAGCGGATTAATAAAGCAATTAATAAATGGGATCCATATTGCACAGAATGACTGGTTTGGTTGCTTGTTATTTTTTTAAGAGATGTAAATGGTCAACTTTTCTTTAAGGGCCAATGGCCTGTGTCCCTTTTTTTGCTGTGGCCCAGTTTGTGTATATGTGTTTTGTGTATATGTGTATTTTATTTATTTACAGCTTTTGTATCCCGCCTTCTCACCCCGCAGGGGACTCAGGGCGGATTACAGTGTACACATATATGGCAAACATTCAATGCCAATTTTTGACATACAAACATATACAGACATACACAGCGGCTATTTAACTTTCTCTGGCCACCAGGGGAGCTATCGCTTTCATCATCCATCTGCGACGCTGATGAAGCACTTCCGCATTCCCCGCATGCTTCCCCGCTGGAATGCTTTGCTGGAGTCTTCTTTATGGCCTCAAAAATCAGTTAATTTAGCCTCCCCACACTTTTAAGGTGGTACCTAATTTTCCTACTTGACAGATGCCACTGTCTTTCGGGTTGCAAAGGTCGACAACAGGCTACACACAATTGGTTGGAAACTCACTTCAACCTGGGCTGGCTTCGAACTCATGACCTTTTGGTCAGAGTGATCTTAATGCAGCTGACACTCAGCCAGCTGCGCCACAATCCCGGTGTATATACGTGTATTTGCGTGTGTGTGTATATATGTTGTTTTGCGCATGCATTGTAATGTTTGGGTTTTTTTTTTGGCTGTTTGTCTCTTCCAATGTGTTTTTCAGTGTTTCTATGAATGATGATTGTTTTTATGAGTGATGGTCACTTGTTGGCCTGAAAGGTGTATTGTGTCCAAATTTGGTGTCAATTCGTCCAGTGTTTTGAGTTATGTTAATCCCACAACACGAACATTACATTTTTATTTATATAGATTGTATTTACTTATAAATACATCTTAAATCTTTTTAAATCTGTGTTAATTGTATAGCAGTATAATACCATCTGTCAAGTAGGTTTTGGTATTTGTCTCATGAATGCCTTAATGTCGTCTAGGTCGTTCTCTGCGGAGGATCAAGTCGTATTCCAAAACTGCAGCAGTTGATCAAAGAACTTTTCCCAGCCGTTGAACTGCTGAACTCTATCCCTCCAGATGAGGTCATTCCTATTGGAGCTGCCATAGAAGCTGGGATCCTGCTTGGAAAAGATAATACCTTTTTAGATGACGAAATGCTATCTGTCGAATGTTCTGCGAAAGATATTTTAGTGAAGGTAAGAATAAGAGATACTTACTAGTCTTCCCCCTCTGAAATACCCTGTTTTAGCTCTGTTATTCTCCCACACTTGGGGGGGTGGTGGTATTGTATCTTGGACGTCCTATCTCCATTACACCACAACAAGATTTTTTAAATTTTCCAATGCAATAAAAAATCAGAAAGTATACAAAGGAAAACAAAGGAAAATAATGAAAATTATAATTCAGATTGTAAAATAATATTAGTTTTGTTTCCTTTTGACTGTATCTTCTCCCAACACACGCTTGCAAGGGATGACTTAAAACTTTGTTTTTGGAGGTCCTTTGTGTTATAAGAGTTCTAGATCAAGGCTTCTTAAACTTTTTCTACTCAAGATCCCTTTTCACCTGGGTATATACATATATAAATAGTTATGCAACTAAAACATTTAGCCACAGGGAAGAGGGAGCAAGCTTGTTTTCTGCTTCCTTGGAGACTAGGACTTTGTAGCTAAGCACCTGCACCTTAAATTGGGCTCGGAAGATAAACGGCAGCCAGTGGAGCTCCTTGAACAGGAGGGTTGACTTCTCTCTGTAGGGAGCACCAGTTAACATCCTGGCCGCTGCTCGTTGGACAAGTTGGAATTTCCGAGCCGTTTTCAAGGGCAGCCCCACGTAGAGCGCATTACAGTAATCCAACCTAGAGGTGACCAAGGCATGGACCACCCCGCCCAGATCAGCCTTCGCGAGGTACGTCGCAGTTGGCGCACGAGTCTTAATTGTGCGAAAGCCCTCCCAGATACCGCCGACGCCTGAGCCTCAAGAGTAAGTGATGAGTCCAGGAGGACCCAAACTGCGGGCCTGTGGTTTCAGGGGGAGTGTAACCCCGTCCAACACAGGTTGCCACCCTACACCCCGGTCAGGTTTACGATCGACCAGGAGGACCTCTGTCTTGTCGGGATTGATCTTCAGCTTGTTCCTCCTCATCCAGATAGACACAGCGGCCAGGCACTCGTCCAGCACCCGAGAGGCCTCCTTGGAGTTGGGTGGAAATGAGTAGTAGAGTTGTGTGTCATCTGCGTAGAGGTGGCACCTAACTCCAAAACTCCGGGTGACCTCTCCCAGCGGTTTCGTGTAGATGTTAAAAAGCATGGGAGACAGAATGGAGCCTTGCAGGATCCCACAGGTCAAGGGCCAGGGGTCCGAGCAGGCGTCTCCCAGCTTCACCAACTGGGATCGGCCCTCCAGGAAGGATCGGAGCCACGACAGATCCGTGCCCCAGAGACCCATCCCAGAGAGTCATCCCAGAAGGATACCATGATCGATGGTATCGAAAGCCGCTGAGATGTCCAAGAGAACCAGCAGAGTCACACTCCCCCTGTCCAGCTCTCTACGGAGGTCATCCACCAAGGCGACCAAGGCTGTCTCGGTGCCATGACCAGGCCTGAAACCAGACTGTGACTGATCTAGGTAGTTGATGTCATCCAAAAAGCCCTGGAGCTGGGAGGCGACCTCCCGCTCCAGCACCTTACCCAAAAACGGGAGGTTGGAGATCGGTCTGTAATTGTTCAGCACCGTGGAATCACATTTTTCAAAATCCAGTTATCACAGGGACAAAATTGCATGTTTGAAATGTCTTTAAATTTTTCGTACTGTCGTACTGTTTAAGAAGTGCTTTTAACATCCATAGCGTTTGATTAGAACATAAACCATGATGTTTACTTTTACGTGAAAGCAGAATGGAAATGCTTGTGGTTTTAATCAGTGTTGCCTTCATCTTTGGGTTTTGTAAAGTTTTGAGGCTGCAAAACTTTGTTTCCTAGGCAGTGGATGAGTCTGGGGAAGATAAATTCATGGTGGTATTCCCGTCAGGCACTCCTTTGCCGGCTCGAAGGCAGCATACTCTGCAAGCCCCGGGAAGCAACTCCTCTGTTCGCCTCGAACTGTACGAGGCCCTGGAAAAGACTCTGGTGAAAGAAGACAGCAGATTTGCCCAGGTAAAGAAAACCACACTGAGTATTCAGCAGTGCATTTTATGTGAATATTAGAGGTGTGCAAAGTGACTAAAATATTATCAGCAATTTGGAGATTCAGGAGGCCCCCACTTTGTATCGTAAAGATTCAGAAGGGGTCCCGATTTGTTGAAGCTTTGTAATTGTTTTGATTTGTTACATTAGTCACAATGGGGAAATTTTCAAGGCTCGTTTCTCCTTCATTTTTATGGGTATCACGATTAAACTTGTCACACTTGTAGGCAACATTTAGGGCTTCAAGCCTACCAAGTTTCAAAACGTCTTGGTCATCCACTGATTTTAGGACATTTTTTTAAAACTACAATACGTATCCCCTTGAATTTCTGCACAATGAGACAACATTGGAGACTAGGATGTGGAAGAATGGCTTCAAACTTCAAGAAAAGAGATTCCATCTGAACATGAGGAAGAACTTCCTGACTGTGAGAGCCGTTCAGCAGTGGAACTCTAAGCGTCTAGATCTAGGGAAGTCATGCTACCCCTCTATTCTGCTTTGGTTAGACCACACCTGGAATATTGTGTCCAATTCTGGGCACCACAATTCAAGAGAGATATTGACAAGCTGGAATGTGTCCAGAGGAGGGTGACTAAAATGATCAAGGGTCTGGAGAACAAGCCCTATGAGGAGCGGCTTAAGGAGCTGGGCATGTTTAGCCTGAAGAAGAGAAAGCTGAGAGGAGATATGATAGCCATGTATAAATATGTGAGAGGAAGCCACAGGGAGGAGGGAGCAAGCTTGTTTTCTGCTTCCCTGGAGACTAGGATACGGAACAATGGCTTCAAACTACAAGAGAGGAGATTCCATCTGAACATGAGGAAGAACTTCCTGACTGTGAGAGCCGTTCAGCAGTGGAACTCTCTGCCCTGAGTGTGGTGGAGTTTCCTTCTTTGGAAGCTTTTAAACAGAGGCTGGATGGCCATCTGTCAGGGGTGATTTGAATGCAATATTCCTGCTTCTTGGCAGGGGGTTGGACTGGATGGTCCATGAGGTCTCTTCCAACTCTTTGATTCTGTGATTCAATGAGCGTATTAAATTCCCCATTTCCAGTGTGAACTGCTTTGAATTTTTGCAAACCCATTTTCCTTCATTGATTTACTGCATTTCTGTTACGGTAACTGATAAATAGAAGACTTGGTTTTTTCTTAACAGATTGTCCTCCAAGATTTAGATGTCAAGGAAGGTGGTCTTCATGATATTCTGACAGTTCTCACAATGAAAAGGTACTGGAAAACAAAATACCATTTCTGTGGTTCAGCATAGTAATTGGATATAGAATATGTATTGAATTCAGTGTGAGATTTTTACTAAATCTCATTGACAAGAGTATGTTTCCAAAATGCTGCAGCTATCCATAGGTACGATTATACATTGTGACACATTTTCCCTTGTACTGGTTTTCCTTGAATACATTGAGTACAACGTTGCGCTGTTTCTGAAATTGGGGAAATAGTCATTCCAGGAAATGTGAGATACCTTGTTTTACTTTTTTTTCCGGATGCCCTGCCATTTACTTTTCTTTGAAGATAAGGCCATGTCATCTAAGCAGGAGGGATTTCTCCCATTTCTGGACTGGAATAGGATGGTTTTATTTTTCTTATACAGGTATTTTTGAAGATGCTTTTTATCCCTTTTTATTTTGTTTGTTTGTTTGTTTAGAGTATTTATATTCCGCCCTTCTCACCCCGCAGGGGACTCAGGGTGGATTACAATGTACATATACATGGCAAACATTCAATGCGACAGACACACAACATATACAGAGACACTCAGAGGCTATTATAGACTACTGCAACGCGCTCTACGTGGGGTTGCCTCTGAAGACTGCCCGGAAGCTGCAATTAGTCCAACGAGCGGCAGCCAGATTACTAACAGGAGCAGGGTACAGGGAGCATACTACTCCTCTGTTGCACCAGCTCCACTGGCTGCCAATTAGCTTCCGAGCACAATTCAAAGTGCTGGTGTTGACCTATAAATCCCTAAACGACTCCGGCCCAGTTTAACCTGTCTGAACAGATTCTCCCCTATGAACCATCAAGGTTGTTAAGATCTTCTGGAGGGGCCCTGCTCTCGGTCCCACCACCCTCGCAATTGCGTCTGGTGGGGACGAGGGACAGGGCCTTCTCGGTGGTGGCCCCTCGGCTCTGGAACTCTCTCCCACTGGAGATTAGAACTGCCCCTTCTCTCCTGACTTTTAGAAAACTGGTGAAAACTTGGCTCTGGAATTTAGCATTTGATGAGTGAGTCAATAGCTCTTGACCACACTGACGGATGGTGATGAATTGTGATTTCATTTGACGACTTGGCCTTATGTATTTATATGATTGCTTTTAATGTATTTTATGTATTAGTGTATTATGGGGTGTGATGTTTTAACTACTGTTTATGAATCTTTGTTGTAAACCGGCCTGAGTTCCTCTCCGGAGGTTGAGAAGATCAGTATATAAGAGTTCTACATAAATAAATAATAAATAATAAATAAATAAATATTAACTTTCCAGCTTCTGGCCACCAAGGGAGCTGTTGCTTCCTCATTCTTTGCATACTTGCATACTTCCTGGAGATTTTTTATGACCTCGTAAATCAGTTAATTTAGCCTCCCCGCAAAGTTGTACCTAATTTTCCTACTTGACAGATGCAACTGTCTTTCGGGTTGCAAAGGTCGACAACAAGCTACACAATTTTGGTCGGGAGCTCACTCTGACCCAGGCTGGCTTTGAACTCATGACCTTTCGGTCAGTAGTGATCTTAATGCAGCTGACTCCCAGCCAGCTGTGCCACAGTCCCGGTGATAGGATTGAGCCGTTATGAACAGTATGATAACCAAATAATATATGGACTGGAATGATAAACATCTCTCTCTTGTTTTCTTAGGGATGGCTCACTGCATGTTACCTGCACTGATCAGGAGACTGGAAAATGTGAAGCCATTACTGTAGAAGTGGCATCGTAGAATGAATTCCAGGTGTTTCCCTGACTGTTTGTTCCCTCATATAAATATTCATTTTTGAAACTTTTTAAAAATGGAAGACGCAGTATTTCATAGTACGATAAATGAATGAGGCTTGGAAATGGCATCTGCACACACGTTACTCAAAGGAAAAGCTGACAACAAATACATTCAGTGATCAGCTACACAGAAAAAATTGTAGGAGATGTGTGCATGATTATATAAGATACAAACCCACAAAATAAACGGAAGGGATTGTTATACTGGACATGCTTGATGAGACTGGTTAAAGTATGTGAATGGCTTGTTTTTGTCCAAGTGGCATTAAATATTTTGTGAATATGCATTGGAGAGTATAACGGATATTTGTTAATGTGAATAGTAATAAAATATAAGGTTTTATATTGATCTGCTTCAGTTTTTATTTTGGAACACATGATCTGAAAGATATTTTATAGATACCATCGTAAGTAGGTGCATTCAAATAATTCAAGTGATTCTGTACTTTGAGTTTCTGCCTTCTTCCTATCCACAAACCAAGCACACCAAATCACCTTCAAAGATGCAAAACTTGAGAATGGTACTTTACTATATGAACATGGTAAGCTGCTTTGGAAAGCTTGGTTTTAAATGGATGCTACATATCTACAAACAAGGATATATAAGACCATTGCCAATCTTTGATTACGTTTAGAGTACCATTTAATCGTAGAAGCCAAGGAATTTAGATAAACCATTTTGGTGGGAGGACAGAAACCTTGTCATACTAGTAGTCAAGATAGCTGCAAGCAGTCAGAAAGCTTAGAGCAGTGGTTCTCAACCTTCTTAATGCCACGACCTCTTAATACTGTTCCTCGTGTTGTGGTGACCTCCAACAATAACATTTTCGTTACTACTTTCATAACTGTAAATTTGCTACTGTTATAAATCATAATGTAAATGATGAGATCAGGGAAAATACACAGACCAGTTAGATATGATCTCACTAACATTCCTAGCAAATATACAGTGGAAGTGAAGAACAGATTTGAAGGACTAGATTTAGTAAACAGAGTCCCAGAAGAACTATGGACAGAAGTCCGAGACATTGTTCAGGAGGCGGCAACAAAGTACGTCCAAAGAAAAAGAAAACCAAGAAGGCAAAATGGTTGACTGCTGAGACACTGGAAGTAGCCCAAGAAAGGAGGAAAGCAAAAGGAAACAGGGATAAGGGGAGATATGCCCAGTTAAATGCGCAATTCCAGAGGTTAGCCAGAAGAGATAAGGAACTATTTTTAAACAAGCAATGCATGGAAGTGGAAGAAGACAACAGAATAGGAAGGACAAGAGACCTCTTCCAGAAAATTAGAAACATTGGAGGTAAATTTCAGGCAAAAATGGGTATGATAAGAAGCAAAGATGGCAGGGACCTAACAGAAGCTGAAGAGATCAAGAGAAGGTGGCGAGACTATACAGAAGATCTGTATAGGAAGGATAATAATATCGAGGATAGTTTTGACGGTGTGGTGAATGAATTAGAACCAGACATCCTGAGGAGTGAGGTTGAATGGGCCTTAAGAAGCATTGCTAAGAACAAGGCAGCAGGAGACGACGGGATCCCAGCTGAACTGTTTAAAATCTTAAAAGATGATGCTGTCAAGGTGATGCATGCCATTTGCCAGCAAATATGGAAAACACAAGAATGGCCATCAGACTGGAAAAAATCAACTTATATCCCCATACCAAAAAAGGGAAATGCGAAAGACTGCTCAAACTTCCGTACAGGGGCCCTTATTTCTCATGCCAGTAAGGTAATGCTCAAGATCCTGCAAGGAAGACTCCAGCAATACATGGAGCGAGAGTTGCCAGATGTTCAAGCTGGGTTTAGAAAAGGCAGAGGAACGAGAGACCAGATTGCCAATATCTGCTGGATAATGGAGAAAGGCAGGGAGTTTCAGAAAAACATCTATTTCTGCTTCATTGACTATTCTAAAGCCTTTGACTGTGTGGATCATAATAAATTGTGGCAAGTGCTTGGTGGGATGGGCATACCAAGCCACCTTGTCTCTCTCCTGAGGAATCTGTACAAGGACCAAGTAGCAACAGTAAGAACTGACCACGGAACAACAGACTGGTTCAAGATTGGGAAAGGCGTACGGCAAGGCTGCATCCTCTCACCCAACCTTTTTAACTGTATGCAGAACACATCATGCGATGTGCGGGGCTGGATGAATGCAAAGCTGGGGTGAAAATTGCTGGAAGAAACATTAACAACCTCAGATATGCAGATGACACCACTCTGATGGCCGAAAGCGAGGAGGAGCTGAGGAACCTTCTAATCAAGGTGAAAGAAGAAAGCGCAAAAGCTGGTTGCAGCTAAACATCAAAAAAACCAAGATTATGGCAACAAGAATGATTGACAACTGGGAAACAGAGGGAGAAATTGTGGAGGCCGTGACAGACTTTGTATTTCTAGGTGCAAAGATTACTGCAGATGCAGACTGTGGCCAGGAAATCAGAAGACGCTTACTTCTTGGGAGGAGAGCAATGTCCAGTCTAGATAAAATAGTAAAGAGTAGAGACATCAGACTGGCAACAAAGATCCGCCTAGTCAAAGCCATGGTATTCCCTGTAGTAACCTACGGATGTGAGAGCTGGCCCTTAGGGAAGGCTGAGCGAAGGAAGATCGATGCTTTTGAGCTGTGGTGTTGGAGGAAAGTTCTGAGAGTGCCTTGGACTGCGAGAAGATCCAACCAGTCCATCCTCCAGGAAATAAAGCCCGACTGCTCACTGGAGGGAAGGATACTAGAGACAAAGTTGAAGTACTTTGGCCACATCATGAGGAGACAGCAAAGCCTGGAGAAGACAATTATACTGGGGAAAGTGGAAGGCAAAAGGAAGAGGGGCCGACCAAGGGCAAGATGGATGGATGGCATCCTTGAAGTGACTGGACTGACCTTGAAGGAGCTGGGGGTGGTGACGGCCGACAGGGAGCTCTGGCGTGGGCTGGTCCATGAGGTCACGAAGAGTCGGAGACGACTGAACGAATGAACAACAACAACAACAAATTTGGCACAAATACGCAATATGCCCACATTTGAATACTGGTGAGGGCTTTTTGGGGGGGTGAGGATGGATTTTGTCATTTGGGAGATGTAGCTGCTTGGATTTATAGTTCACCTGCAATCAAAGAGCATTCTGAACTCCACCAGTGATGGAATTGAACCAAACTTGGCACACAGAACGCCCGTGACCAACAGAAAATACTGGAAGAGTTTGATGGGCATTGACCTTGAGTTTGGAGTTGTAGTTCACCTACATCCAGAGAGTCAAGCTAGGATGGATCTGGACCAAACCTGGCACAGATACTCAATATGCCCAAATGTGGACACTGGTGGTGTTAGGGGAAAATACACCTTGACATTTGGGAGTTGTAGTTGCTGGGATTTATAGTTCACCTACAATCAAAGAGCATTCTGAACGGCATCAAAGATAGAATTAGGCCAAACTTCCCACACAGAAACCCCATAACCAACAGAAAATACTGTGTTTTTCTGATGGTCTTAGGCAGGGGTCCCCAAACGTTTTGAACAGAGGGCCGGGTCACAGTCCTGCAAACTGTTGGAGGGCCGGATTATAATTTGAAAAAAAAAATGAATGAATTCCTATGCACTCTGCACATATATTATTTGCAGTACAATCCCCCCCCCCCAAAAAAAATCAAAAAACAAAAACCCACACTTCTATATAAATAAAAATGTAATGTTCGTTTGTGGGATTAACAGAACTCAAAAACCACGGGACGAATTGACACCAATTTTGGACACAAGACACCTAACAACCCAATGTATGTCCTTCACACAAAAAAATGATTTTGTCATTTGGGAGTTGTAGTTGCTGGGATTTATAGTTAACCGCTGTGAGTCGCCTAAGGGCTGAGAACAGCGGTATACAAATAAAGTAAATAAATAAATAAACTACAATCACAGAGCATTTTGAACCCCACCAACGATGGAATTGAACCAAACTTGGCACACAGTTCTCCCATGACCAACTGAAAATACTGGAAAGGTTTGGTGGGCAGTGTCCTTTCGTTTTGGAGTTGTAGTTCACCTACATTCAGAGATCATTGTGGACTCAAACAATGATGGATCTGGACCAAACTCGGCACAAATGCCCAAATTTGAACACTGGTGGAGTTTGGGGGAAATAGAATCTTGACATTTGGGAGTTGTAGTTGCTGGGATTTATAGTTCACTTACAATCAAAGAGCATTCTGAACCCCATCAACGATGGAATTGAACCAAACTTGGCACACAGTTCTCCCATGACCAACAGAAAATGCTGGAAGGGTTTGGTGGGCAGTGTCCTTTGGTTTTGGAGTTGTAGTTCACCTTCCATAAATCACTGTGGACTCAATGATAGATCTGGACCAAACTTGGCACTGATACTCAACATGTCCAAATGTGAACACTGATGGCGTTTGGGGGTTGTATTTACTGGGATTTATAGTTCAATCAAAGAGCATTCTGAACTCCACCAATGATGGAATTGAACCAGTCTTGGTACACAGAACTCCCATGAACAACAGAAAATACTGGGTTTAGTGGACATTGACCTTGAGTTTTGGAGTTGTAGTTCACCTGCCTTCACCACGCCAGCGTTCCCTGGCCACGCCCACCCAGCGCCGCTCCGTCAATTGCGGACACCCTCTGCTCCAGCCGCTCTGCTCTGCAGAGGACCCAGCTGGGAGGCTTCTCCTTCCCACACAGGCAGAGCGGCCGGAGCAGAGGGTGTCCACAATTGGCGGAGCGGTGCCGGGTGGGCGTGGCCAGGCCAGGCCACGCGGGCCGGAGAAATGCCCTCGGTGGGCCGCATACAGCCCGCAGGCCGTAGTTTGGGGACCCCTGGTCTTAGGCGACCCCTTTGACACCCCCTCGCGACCCCCCCAGGGATCACCCGCCAGGTTGAGAACCACTAACTTAGAGGAAAAAAGTAATGTAGTCAGCTATTTTTTAAGCCATGGCATTTAATAAATTGACTGCAAACAATCAGTCACTGGATGGAGAATACAAAAAGGACAATAAATCTTCTACCAAACTTTTTGTAATCATGACTTTCATGTCAAGCATCCTCCTTCCCGTAGCTATACTACTTTCCCTACATGTCCCTGCTTTCAAGGTGGAATTACTTTTTAAAAAAAGATCACAGTACAAACAGCTTTGCAAACTCTTAAAGAATACTGTTGTTATGACAAAATACAGAAACTTTCTGAATTGTGAGGCAAGACTAACAAATACAGTACTTTACTGACTGGGTAGAAAAATTATTTAAACGCACACATTGAAATATTTCTGTAGACAAGTACTGTCAAATCTTCTATCATTTGGCCAGCTGAACAATGCATGGAACATAGTAAACTGTTAATATCCATATAGCCATTTTCTAATGTTTTAACTTTGTATGTTGCTGTCAGACATTTTTAAAATATCAAAGAACGCCTTTGTATGCAAGTTGGATGACACAGGAACAAATTAGGAACCTGGGGATTCAGAGGCACTAAGTGAAGCTGCACATGGATCACTGGCCTGGATTCATGATTCAGGACGGCTGCTCTCTATTGAGAATAGAAAACTTGATGGTTTCCCCTCCCTGCCATCAATGTAAATTTTAGCCATAGTTAAGTTTTCCTACATGTTGCCAAACTGATCTGGTTTAGGGATCTTCCCATGAAAGTAGACCTGCTTAGCTGGGTCTCAAGACTGAATGACCATGATTTCTCTTCCAACAAAGGCTACGTTCAGCAAAGGACATGAGGGATCCTCTCACTTCTGCAGGAGTCTATCGTGTACCATGCAGCTGTGGACAAGTCTACATAGGGACCACCAAACGCAGTTGCCCAAACACGAATCAAGGAACATGAAAGGCACTGCAGACTACTTCAACCAGAGAAGTCAGCCATAGCAGAGCACCTGATGAACCAACCTGGACACAACATATTATTTGAGAACACAGAAATGCTGGACCACTCTCACAACCACCATGTCAGACTACACAGAGAAGCCATTGAAATCCACAAGCATGTGGACAATTTCAACAGAAAGGAGGAAACCATGAAAATGAACAAAATCTGGCTACCAGTATTAAAAAAAACTCTAAAATTACAACAGCAAAACAACAGAGAGGAAACAATCAAGGACATCTAATCACCTCTCAACAAAAGATTGCCCCAGGCACTGCCAGGCCATCAAATGCTAATCAAGGTGGTCAGTTGAAGCATTCACACCTAGCTCCGGCAGACAAGAGTCCTTTGTCCCACCCTGGTCATTCCACAGATATATAAACTCTTTTTCCTAGTTCCAACCGACCTCACTACCTCTGAGGATGCTTGCCATAGATGGAGGCAAAAGGTCAGGAGAGAATGCCTCTAGAACATGGCCATGTAGTCCGAAAAAACCTACAACAACCCAGTGATTCCGGCCATGAAAGCCTTCGACAATACATTTCTCTTCCTGTTTACTCATGTCTCATGCTAATTCTGTCTGCCTACAATCGATCTTCCGTATCTGTGGGTGTAATATGTTCCCAAGTTTAGCTCCAATTCAATGATCAATGTATCCTGGCCAATGACCATATTTTTGCTAGAGGACCTAGATATTCCTATAAAATACCTCTGGGAATCTCTTTAAGTCTTTTAGCATAACACATTTTTTCTTCTTTCATAGGGGTTCTATGCCCTTAACCCCCACAAAGTACAGGCCTGCTGTACATTCATTTACTGGGCTCTGACTTTCCATTCCACACTTAACATTTCAAAGGTATGCATTGTTTTCTCTAAAAGGTGTATAAAACTTTGCCTTGTTTAGTCACCTCTTGAAAGAGCTGAGTTCAAGATGCCTTCGTTGTTGGGTACATATGGGTAGGGTATCCGCCTGGCTGTCCAACCCTTCTTCTTGAGATATATGTGTTGACTGAGAAGAGTTTTGGGAGGAGATATGAGTCGAGTCACTGTCACTAAACAGACTAGGTGAGTCTGGCTCGGTTAGTTCTGTAGGTGGCAGATCACTGTCCTCATGTTCGGAAGTATCTGTATCTTCCTTGTTATGCCGAAAAAAGTTCTCCCATTTGGGCATTTCCAAATTACCCAGCTGTACATCTTCATTTTGCTTGGAACTTGGTTCTGAATGGGCCAGTCCAACTTTGGGCACTCCTCCTTTGGGCACCCAAAACATCTCTCTCTCAGACTTCTCCTCGTCATCATTGGGTTCTTCACACTTCACAAAATTTACTTTCACAGAATTAGGCATGGAAGACACCTTATACCTGTCTTCGTGGTTTTGCACAAGAGGTTTGTTGTCTGGCAACAGTTTAGGAAGCTTGGATCTGATACAAATTCGTTCTGTATTGAAGAGATCACCACCATCACAACCTGTGAAGACAAGAGGAGTCGTCAAGAAGACGTGAAGCCACTCAAGTCTGCCTATGCCTCAGAACCGTGTCTATTATCTGGGACTGAACCAAAGCAAACATGGTATATATGAAATTACATGCTGTCTTGCAAATAAAGTTTGTCGATGGCAAAACAAAGTCACTCTACGGACAACTGAGTAAAAGAGACTGTATATTATTTTTGTTACAAGTCTGCATATCACCGTTGAATGAAGAGGACTCACCAAAGATATTGTTTTATGTTTTTGGTGAGAGCAATTCTTCTCTTTTGTTTTGTATGCAGTGAATACAACTTTATTTCTGTTCTATTTAAAGTGAAAGACTCGTGTGTTTTCTTTTATGAGTTACTTTATCACACTTGGACCGTGCTCTGACCTACAAGAAGCACTGCCTGAACATCAAACAAAAAGTGGGCGCTAGAAAAAACATCATACGAAAGCTGACTGGCACAACCTGGGGATCACAACCAGACACAGTGAAGACATCTGCCCTTGCGCTATGCTACTCTGCTGCTGAGTATGCATGCCCAGTGTGGAACACATCTCACCACACTACAACAGTAGATGTGGCTCTTAATGAGTGAACACATCTCACCACACTAAAACAGTGGATGTGGCTCTTAATGAGACATGCTGCATTATCACGGAGTGTCTGCGCCCTACACCACTGGAGAAATTACACTGCTTAGCCGGTATTGCACCACCTGACATCCGCCGGGAAGTAGCAGCCAATAGTGAAAGGACCAAGGCAGAGACATCTCCAGCTCATCCCCTGTTTGGGTATCAGCCAGCACGTCAACGACTTAAATCAAGACATAGCTTTCTTAGATCTACAGAGACACTTGCTGGAACACCCCAGCAAGCGAGAGCCCAAAAGTGGCAGGCTCAAACCCAGAACCTCAACCAATGGCTGATACCAGATGAGAGACTCCCCCTGGGCACTCAGAAGACTGGGCGACTTGGAAGGCGCTGAACAGACTGCGCTCTGGCACCACGAGATGCAGAGCCAATCTTAAGAAATGGGGCTACAGGGTGGAATCCACGGCATGCGAGTGCGGAGAAGAACAAACCACTGACCACCTGCTGCAATGCACCCTGAGCCCTGCCACATGCACAATGGAGGACCTTCTTGCGGCAACACCAGAGGCACTCCAAGTGGCCAGATACTGGTCAAAGGACATTTAACCAACTACCAAATTTGCAAAATCTCTGTGTGTTTTTTTAATCTCTTTGTTTTGCTCTGTTAGAATTGTAATACAATGGTTGCTGATGACACGATAAATAAAATAAAAAAAATAATCACACTTAAGAGTTACAAGGGCTAGAGTCAGTCTGCGGGCCGCTCACACTAAAGCTTCTAACTATTTGTCAATTAACAAAATCACCCCTCTTTAGCCCCATTTTTCAGTTAATAAAAACACCCCAGGAGTTATCCCTTCTCCCTCTTTGGGCTAATTCTCTCACAACAACAGCCTGGCACCTTCTGGTTGTTATCCACTCTCAGCAACTGGCATACCCTCACCATCTTCAATATAATAGTACTAGCTGTCCCCTGCCACGCGTTGCTGTGGCCCAGTCTGTTGATATGGAAAATAAAGTAATGAGAAAATGTTGGTTTCTTCAGGGGCCCCTTTCAAATCTATGATACTATATCTGTGTGTGTGAATCATATCTATCTATATCTATGGCTGGATGGCTCTTT